TGAATGTCTGGCACCAAGTTTTCTGATCAGCCTTCTCTACCACATCTTCCTTGTCTTCCCTCCCTCTCCATTCTCCTGCGGTCCTAGACATACCTGAAACCTCAGAAACGGCTCCAAGAGTTCGCTGTCTGACACAGCTCTGTTGGTTTTACCCACTGCTAGCTTGTGATTTTGGTTTCCTGGGTCTGTTAAACATACTACTGATCTCTCCCTCCCCCACCCTCCAGCTTCCAAAAATGAGGTCAAGTTCTCCTATCCTTTAGTCTAGTCTCTGGGGAAATGGGTTTTAAAATATCTTCTATTTTAGGGTGCTTACGAGGAACAGTACACACATGCAGTTCACACTTTACTGAAGGACAGTATACAAGTGCGGTTCACACTTTACTGAAGGACAGTATACAAGTGCGCTTCACACTTTACTGAAGGACAGTATACAAGTGCGCTTCACACTGAACTGAAGGACAGTATACAAGTGCGCTTCACACTGAACTGAAGGACAGTGCACAAATGATGGTATTTCACAACTTTAACACAGAAATTTGAACACTAAACTTCTTTGGTAAGATCTTATTCTTCTATGAAGCCTTCTTTTCATTTACATGTCTTTACCAGAACTAATCCTGCCCTTCCAAGGTTTTTAGTGGAATATAAAACATATTCGGTCCTGTTTCGTTTATGTATGTCTCTTGCCTACCAAAATAAGAAGGGAAAAGTAAGGGAAAGTTTTATTCCAATCCTCAAGAACAGCATCCATTACAATGCACAGAAAAAACAAAAACAGAACAATAAATTTGCCAATGTAAGAATATGAAATAGGTGATAAACCTTTTAAAACTGTAAATACTTTCATATAGTGAACGATAGCTTGGCTGGACAATGAGGAATACTGAGAATTCAAGAACAATTGCAGTGGGTTTTTGATCCTACTGCACGTACTGGCTTTGTGGGAGCCTAGGCAGTTTGAATGCTCACCTTACGAGACCTGGATAGAGGTGGGCAGTCCTTGGGCTTCCCACAGGTCAGGGAACCCTGATTGCTCTTCGAGCAGATGAGGGGGGGGGGACTTGATCGGGGGAGGGGGAGGAAATGGGAAGCGGTTGTGGGGATGAGGCAGAAATCCTTAATAAATAAATAAATTTAAAAAAAAATACTTTCATATACATTTTCCTCTGGCTAAACCTACTGACTAGTATTTTTTTTTTTTTGGAGCTGAGTATCAGAGATTGAATCTAGAGGTTCGTGCATGCTAGGCAAATGTTCTATGACTGTGTTCCTATCAACTTTCAATTGCTGTCTCCTCAAACTAAAACTGAGTATCTGCTAGTACTTTCAATCAGGAAACCGGCTTGCTAAACATAAAGTGCAGGAAGTTTGGGGTCGACTGCCCTCTGCTGGCACTTCAAAAAACTAACCTTCTGAATGGCGAAACCTGACACTGGTGGTGTTCAGCTTCAATACAATACAGAATTCTTTTTCCCTTCTTTCTTTCCCTTCCTTCCTTCCTTCCTTCCTTCCTTCCTTCCTTTCTACCTCCCTTCTTCCCTCTCTCCCTCCCTCCCTTCCTTCCTTCCTTCTTGCTTGAGACAGGGTTTCACTATGTATCTCTGGCTGGCCTAGAACTTGCTGTGGAGACCAGGCTAGGCCCCAAACTCACAGGGATCTATCTGCCTGTCTCTGGCCTGCACACACTGAGATTTAAAGATATTAGCCACTGTGGCCAACTTCTATTTTCTTAATTTTCCAAGTGCACGTGCCTAGAATTTGTAGTCAGAGAAAACTTGTGATTTTCCAAATAATTTGATGTTTCTTCCAAACTGTTTCTTTATTATATTATTATTGTTGTTGTTGTTGTTTTGAGACAGAGTTTCTCTGTGGCTTTGGAGCCTGTCCTGGAACTAGCTCTTGTAGACCAGGCTGGGCTCGAACTTACAGAGATCCACCTGTCTCTACCTCCCAAGTGCTGGGATTAAAGGTGTGTGCTCGCAAACTGTTTCTTTCAGGAGAATTTGGAGGTTATCGTATAGTATCGTCAGGAAGGTGTGGTGCTAGATGGGTCTAGCTGTGGCAGTTGGAGAACACGACGGTAAGGAAGCAGAGGGATGAATTCAGGTGTTCTACCTGCCTTCTCCTCCGACTCGGTTCAGGACTCCAGCTCATGGGATGATGCTGCCTGCATTCAAGGTAAGTCTCCTCCAGTGTCAGGTCCCCTGGAGCTGAAGCTGCAGGCAGGTATGAGTCACCCAATGCGGCTACTTGAATGCAAACCAGTACGTGCTCCCAACCACTGAGCCATCTCTTTCCATCCTGGGCTTATAGAGATGGAGCACTTTCAAGGTGTGAGGACAACCACCGAAGGCATTATTAGATAGGACGTACTCTCAGTGGGTGAGTTTGGACAGAGGCCAAAGAGACCACGCCAGCCTGGGCTCTAATTAGGCTTTACACTAGTTCTAGTCTCCAGAATAGACAGTTTTTTTTCTAGGAGACGGGCTCTTCCCCCTTCCACTGTGATTGACATGCCTGTTGTAGGATAGTATTTTAAAATGTGTTACACTTGTTTATGCTGTAGAACATCTGTTTCTGTGATGCAAAGATGTGTTGTGTTCTCTGTTGCAATTGTTTAACTCTGTGAAGCTGTGTTACTTTGCCTGTCTAAAATACCTGATGGTTTAATAAAGAGCTGAATGGCCAATAGAAAGATGGGAGAAAGGATAGGTGGTGTTGGTAGGTAGAGAGAATAAACAGAAGGAGAAATCTGGGAGGAAAAAAAAGGAAGGAACAAGAGAACAAGAAGAGGATGGCAGCAGGGACCACCCACCCAGCCATGGAGTAAGCACGAGATTAAGATATACAGAAGTAAGAAAGATAAAAGCCCAGAGGGAAAAGATAAATGGGATAATTTAAGTTAAGAAAAGCTGGCTAAAAACAAGCCAAGCTAAGGCCGGGCATTTATAAGGAAGAATGAGTCTCCATGTCATGATTTGGAAGTTGGCTGGTGGGCCCCTAAATGAGTCAAAAAACAACAGCAATACAGTCCATTTGGATTAGGAGGGAACAGTGCTGTGCTCTTGTTCTTTACCCTAGGTCTCAAGAGTTACCAATCGTGACTGCCTGTTTCTCTGGCCCAGGGAAGCAGAACTGTAACAGCTCCAAGGATAGCCCAGACACGGGTAAAGTTGGAAAGCTGCTCAGATAAGTGTAGTGAGCAGCAATACTACAGAGCTGTGTCTTCAAAAGCTCTTCAAATAAGATTCTACACTGACTTCACCAAAATACAACGCTGGGCATTTCATCCCTCTGTCTTCAGTGGCTCAGATTCCAGTCTTCTGACTAGGAACCACAGTCACGGAGTTTCAGTTTCTGCTCCTACAGGCTGCTGATTATGAAGTGGGGAGGAGTCTATCCTCAGCGACCTTCAATAGTGTGGAGAAAAAAGTAAAGATATGAGAAATAGAAACCTCACGAAGGACACAAAAAGCAGAAGCACAATGCTAGTATCGCTATTATGCATCCCAGACAGAAAAGAATTGGAGGAAGCTACACTTCAGGAACCAATGAAGAGGCTGGAAATAGAGCTTAGATGTAAAGAGCACTTGCTGCTCTTGTAAAGGACAAGTGTTCAGTTCCTGCAGCCACAGGGCGGCTGACAGCCATCTGAAACTCTAACCCCAGAGGTTCTCGTACCCTGTTTTGGCTTCTGTTGGCACTGCGGGCACATGCAGTGTGCACGGATGTACATGTAGGCAAAATACTCATGCACATTGATTAAAATTAATATTTTTCTACAATACTATAAAACTTATATTTATGACCAAGAATTAAAATCTTTTTATCTTTCCCTACCTTTAAGCAAATGTTTCAATCCTCCAGAACCAGAAAAACCATTGTTTACACAAAGAACTCTTCTTTTATTCTAGGAATTTGATGGCCTGGTGCAGCGACCCTTTTCCCCTTCCTCCACTTCCCTTTCTCCAACCTCCATTTCCAATTCTTTTCAGACTAGTAAATTGAACAAGACTGTGAAATTGGACTCCAGTCAATGCGGAAGTGACACAACCACCATCAAAGTTAGATTAAACACCAAACACACTTCCTGTCTCTTGTGTGTCCCCTCTTCTGAGCACACCCACTTGATCAAGCGTACAGTTTGCCTGGCCCAGACACTTAGATGGGAACGGTGGTCTCTTCCTTTGCTACTTACTTCTAACACCAGCACCCATGTGGCAGCTCCCAGATTAGTTCTAACTCCAAGCCCAGAGGATCCAACGCCCTCTCTTGTCCTCTTGGAGTACTGCAACACGAGGTGCAGGCATACACTCAGGTAAAACACTCATAAATACAATGGGGATGTGTGTGGAATGAATAAAAAATTTCCTAAATGAAATGATTGAAGAAAGCCAGAGAATACCAAGCAGTAATGGAAAGGGGGAAATCCTGTAGATTTAAGCGTGTAACTAGCCAAGGAAAAAACCTGCGGTGTCTAGACATGAAGAATCCACCTGCCAGAAGGGCAAAGACCATAATGGTCATTTTTTGTTTTTTCTTTTCTCTCTTTGTTTTTTTTTTTTTTCCGAGGCAGAGTTTCTGTGCATAGCCATGCCTTTCCTGACACTCGTTCTGTAGAGCAGGCTGGCCTCGAACTCACAGAGATCCGCCTGCCTCTGCTTCCTGAGTGTTGGAATTAAAGACGTGCACTCCCCCGCTGCCCCGCTCATGCTGCCCGGTTTCAAAGCAACTTCTGCTACAGGAAGAAAATAAAAGGATTATTTGAGTTACTGGGGGGTGGGGGAATCTCAGAACCCACCCGCCACAAACACTAATTAGGGTAGCGTCCACCCGTCCACCCGTAGCCTGGGCAATGGGCACACCCTGGAAAGCGCGTCACGACCACGCCAATCGACCACGCCCACTTCCCCCTGGCGCTCCTCTGCGGGGCTCTTTCCCGCCGCCGTCCTGGCGCGCAAGCGCGCATGCTCCCGCCCACTTCGCCTGCGCGGCGTGACGACGCCGCTCGCTCCCGGAAGTAGGAGGCGTCCGGCGGAGTTTGTGTGGCAGCCGCCGCGGGAACCCGAGCGCGGTAGTTTTCTTCCAAGGGAGAAAGGCGGCTTCGCGGGGCTCGGCGGCGTGGGAGCGAGCGTCGGCAGCCATCTCCCGGCGTGAGAGGCGGCATGGAGGACGAGCGGGGCCGGCCGCGTGGCGGCGGCGACGCGGCTCAGCAGAAGACGCCGCGGGCCGAGTGTGAGGAGCCGCGGCCGCTGAGCGTGGAGGTGAGGGTGCTCGCGCGGGGCTGTCTCGCTTCCCCGGCTCCGTCGCCATCCGGGCGAGTCCGCCTCGGCTTGAGGGAGGAGGTCGGGCGGGAAGTTCCGAGTGAGAATTCTGCGTAAACATTCGGCCTGCGCGAGCGCACAGCCCTTCCACCAGCCCCGCGGCGCTGATTGGCTTAGCTGGCGCCGGTGCTCGCCCGCCCCCGGGTGGGGTTCCTAGCCGCCTGAGGTGCTCCCCTCAGCCTGTGCCCGCCCCAGGCCCTCGCACCGCCGTCTCTACCCGCTCCCGAAGGGGCTCCCCATTCCCCAGCTTCCCCTGTCCCCTACTATCTCGAGAATCCAGCCACAACCGGCTTCTGAAGTAGTTTGTTACCCCGCTGGTCCATCCTCGCACCGGCGGCGAGACTGTAAGACGCCTTCCCAGACTTAGTTACTCATCTTGATGGGTTAGTGTTGGCAAGCGCTGCGGCTTGGGAAGGAGACGCTAAAAAGTCCGTGCCTTTTCGTCGCAGGAGTTGAGCACTGGAAATCTAGGGTCTTCGCGGGGCTGGGGAGATGATCTGCCCAGCCGTGGAAGTGTAGGGTCAAACCCAAAACGTCAAAACGTGGGTGTTCGGGAGATGCTTCCTAGTGTCTTTGTTCTTTTCATTTACACCTTCGTGTAGTAGCCAGAATGCTCTTTTAAAATGTTACTTTTTTTAATCCATATGTGTGTATGTGTGTAGTGGATGCCACGAGTGTGCAGGTGCCTTCAAAGACCAGAGTTAGAGGTTAGACATGGATCCTGGGGACCAAACTCCCATCCGCTTGCAAGAGCATAAATTGCTCTTGAGTGATCTTTTAACGGTCTGAATGTATCTAATTTACTCCCATCGTTCCGTGCCTTCCGTTTGCCCCGGCTGCCTTTGCCCATTGCATAGTGAACATCTTTGCTTTGCTGTCCACTCTGACTTCCCTGTGTTCTTCTTTAGTAGGGGGTTTTCTCCCTTAAGAATCTTGTGTTCCCCTTGGCCTGACCACTCTTCCTCCGGATCTTTACAGCGTTATCTTACTGCGCTTGTTAACTGGGTACTTTGGAAGGCTGACAGAGGCTTGCATTTGCCTGCTCTGGAACGATGCCCCCTTTGTTCTAATCCGTGTTGTCAATAACATCACCTAAGTCACTTTTAAAGCTAATTTGCAGAGCTTTTCCTAAGTGAAACTGAGGATACTTCACTGTCTTCAAAGTCCCGAAACTTTGAAATGGAATGCTTTGTGTTCTGGACCAGTGTTCAGATTGATATTAGCGACTATTTTGCCTGTTAAAACCTTAACTGTTACATGCTTTTAACAGATGAATATATATAGTCCCCCTTGACTTCAGCCTCACAAAATTGTTGGTTGTTTTTGAGATTTATCTAGTAAATTTCCATTGACTTTAGCTTCAGTGATCGTTGTAAACCAGTAGAAGAAGAAACATTTTAATGTTTGGGCATTTTTGTTTCAACCTGCAAATGCAAAAGCTTTTCTTTTGTAAGTAGGTAGTGCATAGTTTTGGTAGTTTTATCAACAAAAGTTCGGAAACAGGAGTTACTTAAAAGTAGTTACTTTGTAGTTACTCTATAAGAGTCTCACCAAGAGCATTCAAAGGTCAAGATAGAACCTTTCTTTATAGAAAAATCCAGCAACTTTTAAGGAGAGTCGTATTTTTATTCTGGAAAGTGTAGCCCAGCCTTAAGTTCCACACTTTAAAGTACTTCTCTACAGTATAGCAAATACATGTACAAGTTCATATCCATTTCCCATAATGTGAAAGGAGTGAGTACTCTGCACGACCCCTAGCAGTACAACCTGGGCATTTGCAGGGTTGAGTTGATTGCTGAGAGTGGGAGGTAACCTTGATCTGTCAAGACCAGTTTAAGTTAGGGACTGCATTATGGCCAAGTAAATGCATATTAATATGCTATTAGCAAATAAATTGTTTCTGACGCTGCTGAGAACATAGTTTATGTTTGTAGCATTGCATGTAGAACATAATTAACTTTAGAAGTTAGTGTATTTGTGGTTTAGATCTATCCACGGGGAAAATAGAATGGAGTCATGCGACAGAAAAGCAACACTGTAGATCTGAATGACTGATGACTGTGGGACAATTTATGAGCTTTGAAGCAGAATGCATGTGTTTGCTTTAGTCCTGTGGCATTTCAGTAGTGAACCGGAAATCTGTTTCCTTTCCTTCCCGGTGGGTTCTGTTAGCTTTGTGAAATACAGCCAGACTGAAAAGTTCTGAGGAAGTCGCTGATACATACACACAGTGATGTAAAAGGTCACTTAAACTTGGCTTAGTTTCAGGATATTGTTTGTGAAAAGACTTGTTTACAGTCTGATGACTGTAAAGTAAAATTACTGTTCATTAGTAGTTAGCTTGCTATATACACAATTTCATACTTAGAGTAAGTGCTACCTAAATACTGTTTACCATTAGCAAATGCCATCTAGGACAGGTATATTTGTATAGGTGAGGGAACTGCATGTCAGTGGCCCAAGGCCCTGCTGTTGTAAAGGACCAGCTGGGGCCCAGACTGTCGCGCTCTGACCCTAATTCTGTCCTCTTTTTACTTAGCTTCATTGCATCTGAGGAATCTCATGACTCAGAGCAGAGCAGGGCCAATTACGTTGGAAACACATCTTTCATCTTCCTGCTTTTCTCCACTGGCGCCAAGGGGAGCCTTTCATTGAACATATAACATGGAGAACCCTTAGGAATTTGCATCTTTAAAAATAAAATATATTTGCACTAATTGTAAATTATCTCTCGTAGAAAAAGCAGCGATGTAGACTGGATGGCAAAGACACAGATGGATCTAAGATCATCACCTCCAATGGAAGTGACTTCAGTGACCCAGTTTACAAAGAGATTGCAATGGCAAACGGCTGTATTAATAGAATGAGTAAGGAGGAACTCAGAGCCAAGCTCTCAGAATTTAAACTTGAAACAAGGTAATGAAAACTAACATTAACCTGCTTCTTAAAAACTCGAATCACTTCACAGTTACAGAAGTAGTACCTGCTCACTTTAGAAAACCTTGACAAGACTAAAAATGAAAATCCTATTATGAGATAATTCAAATTACAACTATAATTTATATTCTTTAGCTTGAGTCTGGGCATGCAACTTTGTTTTGTTCTGCTTTAGATAGCAAAGGAGATCTCCAAATCAAAGTTTGTGACTGTGTTGAAACGTACCATCAGTGTATACATGTATAGTCATGGCTGTTGTAGCAAGTATGTTGCTTAAGTTTTACTTTTAAGAGGTCTTGTATAGTCTGAGCTGGCTTTGAGCACACAGTCCTCCTGCCTCTGCCTCCTGGCTTGTTCGCCATATTGGTCTTGAAAATTTTGCTTAATAGTTGGTCATTTACTTGACATGATAGAGGATATTTTTATTTAGTTGCATATATTTTTATAACAGGTTTGTCTGAAATCAGGTGGAAATCCTTCACATCCATACAAATCAGTCACTTTGTTTTAGCTTCTGAAGGAACTGTTGTGTCTATCACATTTAGCCGTACCGAATGGGAAAATGTAGCTTAGTGAACCCTCTGTCTTCTGAGAATTAGACACATATGTTTACAGAACTATTTTCTACCCCTTCCCACTTTCTGTTTTGTTTTTTTAAAGTTTGAGGTATGTGGCATTCTGACTTTTAACATCCAGAAATAGGCACAGTGTTTGATATCAAGAAAAAAAAAACTTGACTGTGTGTAATAGTTGAGAACATTATTCTGGGCAGTAGACTTCTTATCTCTCAAAGTGGACTGCCTCCACTAACTTTCAGATAGGACTTGTCCCCTTCCAGACTGTCTGCCACAGTTTGTAAGGAAAGTCTTGATTTTGTTTTCTCTCTGCTCTTTCTGTTATTAAAGTACAGCCTGTGGCCTACAGAAGATGTCTGAGAAAACTTGTTCTTCCCAGGTGTGAAGATCAGTTCATGGAGCTAGAGATCTAGATGCATTTTCTCAACACCTGTGTGGAACTGTAAGCACTGCACCAGACACTGACACGTTCCCCCACCCAGAAAATCTCAGTCTTGAGAAAACACACAGATGTAAGTTAGAGCAGTCAGGGCAGTGTTGGAAATCTGAGTGTCACAGTGCAGCTGAGGGTTCAGGAGTTCAGGAGTGCGATATTTAAATTAGGCCAAGTAGGAAAGGGAAGAGCATATTTCAGGCAAAAAGAAATTAAAAACAAGAAAAAACCAGAAAACTTACAATTTCTATTTTTCAGTCATATATTCTTGTCTTAATCGTACAACCAGACTTAAGAATTCAAAAGCACGCTGTATATCAAGGCTACAGCACACAGTGCTCTTTATCCACAGCTTACAGTGTAGCAGCATGCTGTGGGGAGAAGGAGTGTTGGACAGTGATACTGAAATGCTACCTCGAGCAAAGTGAAGGAGCCCTATGCTGAAGTCCCTTATTCCTTGTGATGCAGGGAAGCCACTGAAGATGACCTGCCGGGAAAATTGAATTAGTGCTCAGTTCTTAAGTCAGGTGAAGCAGTATGCTGCAGGCTGTGATCACAGGCAGCCTCTACCATAGTCCCGGAAACTAAGAGAAGCCATTGTGGAGAGGATTAAGGACAACCTGGTTCAGGTAGTGTTCAGAAGTCAACCTGGTAAACCTAACATTTGGATAAGGAGGAGCCAGGCGGATGTTAGGGAGAAGTTTTTACCCAGGGCAGCTAGTTCAGTGTTTGTGCTGCATCAGGTTTGCAGTGCTATTTCTTTAGAGAAAGGATAGATAGATAGATAGATAGATAGATAGATAGATAAATGAAGAGGAAAGAAATAAAAGTAGTCACATCTCGCTGGTCACTTGATGTCTTAATATGAAAAGGGTCGAGGGACTTTTCTATGTTTTGATAATGTGTAAAGAAAACACGAAAATGCTGGTCACGTGTATGCCTTTACTTCCAGTAACTGGGAGGCAGAGGCAGGTGTATCTCCAAGTTCAAGGTCAGCCAGCTCTACATAATAGTAAACATGAATAATAAACACCCTGAGGCAGATATTTGGGTTCAACATGAAGATCAGAAAAGTAAAACAGCCAACCATTAGAGAAACCTTTTATCTCTACCAAATCTTTAGACTGAAATGGCTGAGATCCTGTCTCTAAGAATCCTGAAGACTACACACTCCACTGAGTTCCTGTCTCTTCTCCTTTATATTCTTCTCTTTGCCCAGCCATATCACTCCTGTCTCCACCTCCACCTCCACCTCCACCTCTACCTCTGTAGTGCTTGGACTAAAGGAGTGTGAGATTAAAGGCACGTGATCACAAGTGCTGGGATCACCTTTGTATGAGCTCTGTTTCTCTTTTAGACAAGTTCAATCTTGTGTTGCCCAGGGTGGCCTTGAACTCACAGAGATCCCTCTGCCTCTGAAAAGCTGGGATGAAAGGCACACACTACCATTGCCCGGCTTGTATGGCTGATCTTCAGGCAGCTTTATTTATTAAAACATAAATAATATAGCACTATGCATAATGAGTTCCAGGACAGCAAGGACTATGTAATGAGACCCTGCCTCTTAAAAGAGTAAACACTAAAACAGTCTCAAAACAAGCAGCTGGTTGATTATCAGCTTTCATAGGTAGGGTTCTTGTTCAGTGCTTCAGTGGGTAAGAAAGGAAAGCAAATGGCTTAAAACGTGACTTTTAAGTCTCTGATTGGCAATGTGACAAAAAAATAACCTACTTCTAGTCGACCTGTGAGTATGTTAGTGTTCACTCAAAGTGGGCCCTAGGGTGGTGTATCCTGAATTACTTTTCAAGTAGCTATAAGACATTCAACTTTAGGGCCGTAATACTTTTATACCCTTAAGAATTTTTTGTTTAGTTGTCTAACCCATGAATACCAGAAGGAGTACAATATGTTCAATGTGTCTGCATTTTCTCACTCATCACTACAGTTTGTCCAGTTATCTTCAGTTTTTATATCATGTATGTCTTAACATATAAGGCAGTGTTGTGTGTGTGTGCACATAACGCATGTGCACAGTTATGGCTTAAAATACTAGATATAATGAAGACAAAACTTCTCTTGTGAAGGAAAATTTGTCGCATTAAGCATTTTGTTTTCATTCGCTCTTTGCTAACTTAGCTTTGAGTTTTTCCTTCTCTCCATTTGTCTTAGCTAGTGTTCATTAGTTATGCTGTGATTCGGACTGTTCAACCTAGTGCCTGCAGTTAGGACTGAGGATTCTCGTCTGTAACGTTGACCTAATCTTCTGTTTTTTAGAGGGGTCAAGGATGTCCTAAAGAAGAGATTGAAAAACTATTACAAGAAGCAGAAGTTGATGCTGAAAGAAAGCAGTTACGTGGACAGTTACTATGACTACATTTGTATTATTGACTTTGAAGCTACTTGTGAAGAGGGAAACCCAGCTGAGTTCATACATGAAATCATCGAGTTTCCTGTTGTTCTGTTGAATACGCACACCTTAGAAATAGTAAGTGAATTGTTGTGTTTTTATCTTATTTTTAGTAGCAACTGTTCTGGTGTTCAGTAGGAAACTGGAAGCGCCTGTCTGCCATTTTAGCTGGAAATAGAATTTGAAAAGGATATTTTTGCACATTGCTGTGTGCTCCCTATCAGCATGGTTATTTAATAGAGAAACCATAATGAAGCGAATCCAGGACTTGCTTTTCTTCTCCGTGAACTGAAATTGTGGTGCTTTTCTGGTGCTCAGAACAGCTGAGTAGATGGCAATCTCTAGGGAAGTGACAACGACAATGGAAAAATACCCTGGTACCTGCCCCTGGCCCCAGAGATAAGAGTCTAGTTCTGTGGATGGCCCTTGGCATCAGCTTACTTTTTAGAGCACCGTAGGTGGTTTTGATGTTCAGTGAGGGTGGAGGATAGTTTGTAGAAATATTGCTGGTGGCATTGCGGGGGTGGTAGTAGCTGGACCTAAATTCCCAAACCAGACTTTGCATACCCTAGGTGATTGCTGGCACTGCATTGTTAGTTCAGGGCATCATAGAATGTACTCCTAAACATACTTCTTACCTTTAAAATGTGATCAAGGAGATGCCATAGGCCTCTGTCTAGTCACTAAGTCCAGAAAGACCTTGTACATGGTAATGTGTTATGCTCTTCATCTCCATCCCCCTTTGGGGAGTTCTCTCCTCATACCTTCTTGAAGCAGGTCTTTTCTATTTGTTTCACCTGCATGATCCAGCCTATTTCTAAAATTGTCTGCTCCAAAACAGTCAAAAGGGAAAATGGGAGCTGTGTAGGCAGGTGTCCTGGCTAACTCAGACGTTCTCTGAGCTTGGGGCACTGTAAGCACTAGACAGTCAGGTACATTGCCTTCTGGCGTGTTCTCATGTGTCCCACCACAGGGAAATCCTCCTCTTACTCCACTCTGCTGCTACTACCCCTCTTCTTCATTTATGGAAAACCCTTCAGTAAGTTCCATACCCTTCTGTCTTCATTTGCTTTCTTCCCATCATCTCTTATATCCACTCCATTCAATCAAGCTTAAACTGTATACTCTCTTTAAAAAACTTGTGTGTGTGTGTGTGTGTGTGTACACCACAGCCCCTGTGTGACAATAAGAATAACTTTGGGGAGATGGTTCCCTCCGCCCATTTTGTTTAGAAAGGATCTCTTGGTTCTCTTGCCCACCTATTCCAGGCTTCTGGGCAGTTCTTCATCAGTAGGTCTGTGTTCTGTCCTTGTGACCAGCTAATTTCAACACAGTGGCCCAAGGACCCTTTAAAAACCTTGCCATGACTCCTGTTTTAACTTTAAATAAAAAACATATGCCATGTATGATTTAGCCTCTTACGGATGATTATCTCCTGTTTTTATGAATTTATTTATTATTAAACCCATGTATTTTGTTTCAATCTCAGGCTGATTTCCTATGTTTTAAAACCCATTATCGTAATGCACCAACTTCAGTAGGCTTAATGTTCTGAACATGCTGTAAACAAAATGACCAACGCTTTCACACCAAGAAAATATTTACCTCAGCTTTGAAGGTTTGCTTTTAGACAAAATAAACTATCTTTACATTTAAATATCAGAGGACTTTTTGTTGGGGAAGTCCCCTTGGGAACTCTAAAATGATCTGCCATGTATTTCTGCTGTGGTTGGATCTTTTTGCGTGTGTGTCCGTACTGTAGTCACGTAAGGCGCTTTCCCTGTGTCCCTCCCTGCAGGAAGACACGTTTCAGCAGTATGTGAGGCCAGAGGTTAACTCACAGCTTTCAGATTTCTGCATCAGTCTCACTGGAATTACTCAGGTGATAATTCTGTCTTAATTTCTGTTAGTTTTGGTGGTGGGTGCTTGTTTATTTTGAATTTGAAAAGAAAATTTTGAATTTGATTTATTTTGTGAATAGTATAAAAATATCATTATGAGCAATTTAATGTGTTGTTTTCCCTGTTTGGTAAAAGTCTTTCTTTCATACTCTGATTAAAACAAAAAGTAGGAGATGGTTTAAGAGATGGTTCAGCAGTTAGGAGCATTGGCTGTTCTTTCAGAGGACATGGATTCAATCCCCAGCACCCACAAGTCCAGATCCAGGTTCCAGTGCCCTCTTGCGGCCTCCATGGGCACTGAACATGCACATGGTGCACACAAAGGCCAAGTACCCATCACAGACAATTAAAGGGCTTTTTAAAATAATAAATTAACAATTATCTGTAGTAACAAATAATAATGACAATTTTTTTTAAACAAACAGAAGGTCTTAGAACTGGTGCAGTGGTGTGTGCTATAGTTTCACTTGCTAAGGGAGTAAGGGGCACAGTTTGGAGGCTAGATGCCCTCTTAGCTCAGACATTTGAGACCAGCTTGGGCAGCACTGACAGCCTCTCTTCAGAAACAAAAGTCAAAGCCAAACTACACATGATAGCATTTTTGTTACTCCCTCCTCCCCACCCCCCGGGAGTTGTAATGGTGCAGTCAGGATGTTAGTTGTAAACTGGGCGGTGGTGGTGCTCGCCTTTAATCTCTGTGAGTGTGAGGCAGCCTTGTCCATAGAGCTAGTTCTAGGACAACTACGGCTATTGCACAGACAAACCCTGTCTTGAAAAACAAAGAAAAGAATTCAGTTGTAAAATGGAGCTTTAGTAAGATAAGTGTCACTGCTATATTTAGATAGGATTTGGAACATGTCTGTTTACAGTCTTGACTATATACCTTTGGTGGTCTGTCTCTGGTTATTGTTTATGTTTTAATATATAGGTCTTTTAAAATTTATTTGGATCCTTGATTAGTTTCACACTCTCTACACATAGTTCAGTGCCCACAGGCCAGTCTGGTCCAGCAATCCTTCTGTTGAGCTTCACTCTTCCCAGTGACTCTAGGTCACCTGTGTCATTAACAAAACCAGGACGATCTTAATTCTTAATTTTGGGAGAGTTGTATACTCACTTGAGAGCAGTCTTTATTTCTTGGCCATAAAATGAGTTAATTTTCTCAGATTAACATTTAGGTAGTCAGTAGGTCTAAGTCATTGAAATCAGAGTTTAACAGTTCAGGAATTGTTTGTTCTCTGGTTTATGCCTGGGTGTGTTGCAGCGCCATAAGCAATAGCTCTCCTAACCTTGTTCTCCTTGTGTCTTCAGGATCAGGTAGACAGAGCCGATGCTTTCCCTCAGGTCCTGAAAAAAGTAATTGAGTGGATGAAGTCAAAGGAGTTAGGAACTAAGTACAAATACTGCATATTAACAGATGGGTAAGTAGGAAAATGCAGTTTCATTCCTGTTTACCAGTGAAGAGGCTCTTACTCATTGAGTGTCTAGACTGTCAATGCAATGTTATTTAGTAAGTCCCCAGGAGTCACTGCACAAGAAAGGGTCGTTCCCCACTTGAGAGTTGGAGGCAGGAGGATTAGGAATTCAAGGTCAGCCTACGTAGTGAATTGGAGGCAATCCTCAACTGTATTTTGAGATTATATCTCAAAATCCTACTTGTGCCTCTTCTCCAAATAAGAAAAGGAAAAGGGAAAATGAAGAACTAATAGGAAGGTCTGAAGGGTTGAAAGGGGCACAGACATTGTGCCAAGGTCACTGTACCACAATGTCATCAAAGGTGAAGAAAAAAGCCCTAAAGATCTGGTCTAGTGTCTGCCATGGTGGTGTGTGCTCCCATGTTAAGTTGTTGGTGACATAGAAGACTTCGAGCTCAGCACATATGACCTTAAATTCTGGGACAGATCATTCAAAATCGGTAGTTTGTTTGTTTGTTTGTTTTGCTTTTTAATTAGAACAGTAGCAAAAACAGTAATTGATGCCCCCCCCCCAAAAAAAAAAAAAAACAATTAGGCAGCTCAGGCAATTGTCTGGTGAGGGCTGATGATGGCTGTTAAAAATACGCGGAGGAAGTAATGCCCTGGGGTATGTAGTTGTTTTTGATTTTATAGCAGTGAGTTGAGGGGTTGTAAAATTTGCAGCTGTTCTTGACTCTGCCTAAGAGTAACTTTGAGGTCACTGATTTGCACATTGCACACTCAGTTGGCTGGTTTGATTCTGAGACAAGGTTTCACTGTGGAGCATAGGCTGGTCTGGGTGCTGCAGCCGCCACAGTGCTAGGATTAAGTAGTGTGCAATACACCCCACAGTAAGCACAGTAGAGGAATAGCAGGCCAGGTTGTATGTTCACCCCTAAAATTTGTCTCCATGTTAGTTGCTTACATGTTTTGTGTCAGGACATACTCTTAAAGAACTTAACTAAAATGATAAGTTTGGTGTAATATGCAAGTCTAGCAGTTACACAAAAGAACTCATTAAGGTGACAGTTTGACAGGAATCAGAGCCATGAGCAATCAAGATGAGGAGCCTTGGTGAAGAAAATAACTGCATTTTTTTTTTAAGCTTAAAATTTTTTCTGGGAATCAAGGTTAATAAGTTCTCAGCTTGGTATTTTGTGTGAATATGAGAAGGTCAACGTAAGTAGAACACAGAAAGAACAACTTAAAGTATTCTTCGTAGTACTGGTGTAGCGTTTACTTTATTCCCTTTCTCTCTTTATAAGTTCCTGGGATATGAGTAAGTTCCTGAACATCCAGTGCCAACTCAGCAGGCTCAAATACCCTCCTTTTGCTAAAAAGTGGATCAATATTCGAAAGTCATATGGAAACTTTTATAAGGTAAAAATTTTACTTTTTAAATTAGTTATGCTGGCCGTATTTGCTCAATTTTACATATATATTCAGCTGTGATTTTGTATGCATATTAAAAAAAATTTAAGTTTTTAAAATTTTGATTTTTCTCTGTGTGCATGTATTTATAAAATTATAGAAGTGTTTTATGGGCCCCTATCTTCATTAAAATGCTGATTTTGAAGTAAAGGATGAAATAGCTGTTATGATTTCTATGCTTTGTTTTTCTTTCTTCGGCCACAGTTAGTCAATTTGGATGTAACTTAAGATCATATAAACTGGTATCATCGAGACATGCTTCCTTATTTAAGCACTGGGTGTAACGTGCGAGTGACCACAGTTGCAGGGCGCACAGGGGTCTCTCTCGGTTCTCAGACAGTTGAGTGAATGCCCCCATGTTTAGGCATCATATATGCCCAGGTATATAAATCTAAATATAAATCCATCAATAGTTTTTGAAGTAGCACCCCATCTCTGCAGAAAGATGAGCACTATTCTATCATTTTTATTAAAATTTCCATTTTTAATTAAAAACATTTTTATAAATATTTCTGGTCACAGCTTTCCCCTTTCAACTCCCAAATCCTCTTTACCCACTCAACTCCATGCTCCTTCTCTCTCTCTAAAACACACAGAACTCATAAAAATACAAGCCAGAGTATACAGGCAAACTACCAACAAGACAAAAAATGCCCCAAACTGAGACAAAAAGTACCAAGAGTACTCAATGAAACTCTGTTGGAGAAAACTTAATCCTTCTGTTGCTAGTGTGTATCAGTTACGGGGAGCTTTGGTTAGGGTGGGAGCCTGTGTGCACTTCAGCCCTGTGCATGCTGCCTCAGTCTCTGAGTTCATGTAGGCATCAGTCCTGTTTAGGGAAGACACTGTTTCCTTGGAGTCATCCTTCACCCCTGGCTCCTTTACCTCGTCTGCATAGCTCCCTGAACCCTGAGAGGAGGGGTTTGATGGAGACACCTGCTTAGGACTGAGTGCTCCAAGGTCTCACTCTGCACGTTGTCCAGTCATGGGTTTCTGTTAATTCCCATCTGCTGTGCACAGAGGCTTCTCTGATGGTGGCTGGGCCAGGCAGGAGAAGCAGTGATAGTATTCCTCTTCCCTGGGGATGCCTTTGTTTTGCTGACACCTGTGTTAGAGGTCCAGCGGCCTCACTTGTCTTCCGCCCCGACCACTGAGAGTTAGCTTGCCTCCCTGTTCCACAGCGTGGCCACACCTTCTCAACATCACCGTTTTTAATTTGTTCCCCTGGCTAATACCTCAAAGTTACTGCTGGACGATGGACATGGAACTCTCTAGCTCAAGGCTATGCCAGCCCAAATGCCTATGTAGTGGAGTCCACGAACTGTTTTTCTTTCTTCTGCAACTATGATTGATGGTTTAGTGAGTGGTGGTCTGCTGGTGCCTGTGTTGTTTCAGTGCGTGTGCATCAGAGTCTCTTGAGAACTCTGGTGGTATGCTAGTGGTCGCCTTTATATGGGACTTGGTCTTTTTCCCTTGCAGCTGTTAATATCCTTCCTTTGTTCTGTGCATACAAGTGTTTTGATTATTAAGTCCCATGGGGAGTTTCTTTTCTGGGCCTGTCCATTTGATGTTCTGTATGTCCCTTCAGCCTTGATGGGAATCTCTTTCTTTAGCTTTGGGGATTTTTCTTTTATGATTTTGTTAAAATTATTTTCTGGACCTTTGACCTAGGTTTCTTCTTCTTCCTTTGTATCAGTATTTGTAGGATTGGTCTTTTCATAGTCTTTTATCCCAGGTGTCTTGTGTGGTTTTCATTTTGTTTGTTTGTTTTTGTTCTGTTTTGTTTAAGATTTATTATTTTCTTTTGATTAATCTTTTCTTTTATAGTGTCTTTATGACCTGAAATTCTCTCTTCCACCTCAGTTTCCTCTGAGTTTTTTATTTTGACTTACTGAATTGAGTTTTATTTTTGGTTTTTGTCTTTTAGAGTCAGGATCTTACTGCGTAGCTCTGACTGTGCAGGAACTCACTATGTAGACCAGGCTAGCCTCAAACTTACGGAGATAGATCTTCCTGCCTCTCCCTCCCGAGTGCTGGAATTAAAGGTGTGTTCCACCACACCTGCCAGTTTGACTTTAATGCTTCTATTTCTCTTTTAGATTTTACTTTCATGCCTTGAGTTGTTTTTTTATTATTTCATCCAATCGTTTATTTTCCTGGTCTTCATTCAGGCATATTCTTGTTAAGGTCGTTGAGCATATTCATAATTGCTGTCTTGAAGTTTTTGTCCTGTGCCTTAGTGAAATTGCTTTTCTCTGGGAAAAGTAGAATAGGGTACTACCGACTGTTTTGTTTCTTAGTTTTTAGTTTAACTGTTCAGAGTACTTAAAATACTTACTAAACTTTTTCTTTTCCAGGTTCCTAGAAGCCAAACTAAACTGACAATAATGCTTGAAAAATTAGGAATGGATTACGATGGGCGGCCTCACAGTGGTCTTGATGACTCTAGGAATATTGCTAGAATAGCAATTCGGATGCTTCAGGATGGATGTGAACTTCGAATCAATGAAAAAATACACGGAGGACAGTTGATGAGTGTCTCCTCTTCCTTACCAGTAGAGGGCGCTCCAGCTCCACAAATGCCACACAGTAGAAAGTAGCTGCATATTTGTTGGCTCAGTTGCTAACGATTGTATCCCAGCTAGTGCAGCCTCAAGCACCTTTAAACATTTAAAATCCTATTACAGTTACAGAGAGATGGGTATGTATACAAACACTCAGTGGGGGAACACTCTGAATTCTTTGTCACCAGCACTTTTGGTATGAGCAGTATTTGTTACACAGTAGCCATTCCTGCTTAGAGCTGAATTTTATACTATGGGGTATCCAAGATGTGTTTGTTTGGCTTTAAATGCAGATTTATTGATTTATTCCTTGATGTTGAAATTTGAAATGAATTTCTACATTAATACCATTAAATTAAATATGTTTTTAGAAGTGTGGAAAGGATTGAAAAGTAATGTTTATGTTCCCATTGGATTTTGTGTACAACATAGTCCTTTTAGTTTTTGAAGTTTGTAGGTAAAGTTCAACTGCAGTCAGCCTCTTGGTGTCATTGAGGGATTTGTTACTTCAAGTAGCATAATGTGTGTATATAAGCTACACATATTCTCCCATACACTTAAATGAATTCTAGATAGCTTATACTTAATAAAGTATAAAGAAAATGGTTGCATTGTCTAGGGACTGAAGACAAGAATAAAAGTGTGCGGTGATGCACACACAGCACAGTAGGCCTGACCACACGGCACATGAAGAGTTGCTCAGCCAGCAGCAGCAGTTGACCTGTGCACCACACATTCTGGTCCATTCAGCTTCACGCTTTCTGGGCAGCAAATTCAGGTATTTCTTTCTGGAACACTGCGTGTATTCGGGACAGGTAGTTGCTTTAAAGGTTTACCACCAAGCTTGACAACCCAAGTTTGAGTCTGAGTACTCACACGGTGGACTGAGAGAATCAACTCAAGGGTGCCCTCCGACCCTCTGCTTGCACGCTGGTGGAATTGAGCCTTCCACAGCAAATGAGAATAAGCACAATGTGATAAAGTACTGGGACGCGTCTGCTTTCAGCTCATAACTGAAACCCTGTCATAGACTACAGGCTCTAGTAAGAAATCTAGTTTTTGAGAAGATTGGTGAAGAGTTAGAAGAACCAGCCTGTGACATACACATGTAATTCCAGTACTGGGGAGTTAGGGTGAAGATGAATCTGAGGCCACCCTGGATCCACCAAGAGAACCCGACTCCAAAAATGTCACAAAAGTTAAAATTATAAGAGCTGTAACCTACAAATCAATGGGAGCTTTTAGGGATTTGTTCATTAGCTTCTCTCCATTGTGAATGTGTATTTGCCCCACTTTGAGACTGACTTACTGACATTTGTGTTCAGTTAAGTGTGCCATAGTTAGTAAAAGTACCTGGCTTGTCTTAGTGATCAGTGCATATTGGAAAATAATTCCTATTTATAAAATCAGAATGTGCATTGGAGATAATGATGGAAAACTATCTAGAGGCCAAACGAATGGACTTTTGGAATTAAACCCCTCTCAAGCTCTTCCTGGACTAATTTCACTATGGCTTGTGTTTTGTTTTAAACCCTTAATAGTGACTGTGGAGCCACATTATTTCCGTGGTCAATCCAGGCAAGTAGATTTCATCATGTTCTCCAGTCCTGTGTGTAAGAGAAAGGACAGCAGGCATGCGTGGTGGCTGAGAGCTCACTACAGGCTATGGTGTTTTGAGCCAACATGCTCCTGTCCTGTCAGAGAGGAGTGGGAAAAAACGCAGTGTCGCGAGGCCCGCTGGGCTTGACTGTTGAGGTGATTTTCCCAGGTTGCCATGTTGACACAGGGCAGGTCCATGCCCTTGAAAAAGAATTGTTTGTCACCTGATTACATAGTTGCTACCAAATAGCTGAAACTACAATTGGAAGATTGGAGAATAGCAGGAAATATTAATAATGCCTTCCTGGGTTTTCTGGTTTTTGTTTTTTAAATCAGGCTGATTAAATTTCTTCCTGACAAGTAACCAAGTACTTAACTTTTTTTTCTTAAATAATTCCAATAGTAAAAGTTTTTATAATTCTTGGTCCTACTAAGTGTTTTGCCATCTTTCCTCATCATGTTTTGAGTTTCCACCGACCCTTCTGATTTGGTTTGGTTTCTGCTCTGATGGCTTGTCTTCAACATGTAGAATCAGGTAGTTCTTGGGAGGAAAATGCTCAGGAGTGGCCGCCGCTGTGTAAAGATATTTGTACTGTTCTATTCTTGTTACTGCTGTAACCTGTTGGACTGAGAGTAATATAGTTTCTTAAAGCCTCTGCTCTCTCCTTTGTCATCAGTAGCCATGTTCATTCCCTTGTGTTCCTTTTACTTGCTTAGACACATTGAGATGTTTTTTACCTATGTTGTTTCCAAATCCACACCAACTGATACATACACTCAGCTATATTTTGTCTCTCATGTTTGCATTGAATACTGACATGGACTCTGAAAATATTTTCTTTCTACTTTTCCCTTCTTTGACTGACCCAAACAGAAGAATGAAGAAGTAGTTTGTTTGTTTTTATGTGTGTGTTTGCCTGTGTGAGTTTAGGTGCACCATGTGCCCTTAGATGCCTGTGGAGCTCTGAGGGTATCAGATGCCACCTTGGAACTGGAGTTACAGGTGGTTGTGAGCCACCTAACGTGGGTGCTGGGAACCTGAATCCATGCTTCTACAAGAGCAGCCATCACTCAACCGTGGAGCCATCTCGAGCCCCAAAGAAATGTTTTTCTGAATCCCTCCCTTACTCCCTCCCTCCCTTCCTTTCTTTGCTTTTTTTTTTTCCCTTTAGAGACCTGCTTGTCCTTCAGTAGGGATAGATTTCCTCAGCTAGGTTAGCATGAAATACTGTGGGAGTCGCTAACATGATACTTAGATTCTGTCGTTGAGTTATCATTTATTAGTTTCTTGAGAGGTGAAGCATCACTAGTCCATCTTCCTGAATGTTACCTACAAAATATTAGCATGCAGACTAAGGTGGAGGGAAGGTGGGCAGCAAGATTTCTAGGGAAGGAGGGATCGTGAGTGATCAGAAGAAGCAGCACCAGAGGGTGTTTTGGAGGCTGGGAGGGCCAGTGCCTAGATGGTACATTTGGGGAGGACCTTGCCATGTCAGCATGGTGTGGAGAGAATGGTGGGAAGGAAAAGTAAGAGCGCACCCTCTTCAATCTCTGCCTGTAAAGCTGCTAATAACATCCGGTGGGCCCACCCTTATGACCTCACCTGACCCCAGTTTCTACCTCTCAGTACCATTAACAGAGGAATTTGAGGTGTTTTTAAGACCTGAGCTTTAGGCTATGCATTGAAACCATACCGCTGTGTTAAACTTCTCTCTTGCTGTGATAATACCATGGCCAAAGGCAGCTTGGGAGTAGAGGGCGCCTTTTATCCAACACCTGAGAAGTTAGGGCGGCAAGTCTGGGGAAAGCTGCTTAGTGGTGGCACCGCCCACAGTGGGCAATGCCTTCCTATGTCAATTGCCAATCAAGAAAAAGACTCAGGTAGGTCCACAGACCTGTCTGAGGCATTTTTCCCGTTGAGACTCCCTCAAGTACCTGTGGGCTGTGTCAAGCTGAAGCTAACAAGGAGACACTGTGCCTCCCTCTCTGTTCGTCTCATAGATCTTTCTAAAACGTTCTGCTGCACTTCTATCACAGAAGGCGTTTAGACCTTCCAGTATGGGCTCCTTATGTTTTACATCTTCCCCAGGTTGATAACTATCCCTGCTTTATGTGTGTCAATCTCCTACTTTTGTCCCCAGAAAGTAGTCCATCAAGCTTGGTCTCTTCTAATTTTTAAGAACTGACTTTGATCCCAACTTACCCTGACTCTGACGATGTCTTCCGATGTTTTCTGTGCCCACTGGACCCTTGATTGGTGCCACGGAGGTTCATATTCACATATTCATAGGCTCTTACATATCGTGCCCTCAGACTCTAACATACAGTGTATAGTTGAGAACAGGCATGGTGAAATATACCCTTATGGTCAGTACCTCTTCCTGAACCAAAGAAGGTGGGTAACTTAAATCCCAATTACTCTGAAGAAAGAGTGGCTTTCCATTTTCTTGTTCCTATGAACTCTGACTCTCAGAGTCAGAAATATTTAATCCCTATCAATACTTGGCTTTCCCTCTAGATGCCAGAAAAAGCAAACAAATGCTGAATTCATTCTAGTCTGTCTCTGCATTGCTAATTTTAAACACCCTCCAAGTATCTTTGACCTTGAAAAGGTCATTCATTGCTTCCCTTCTGTTTTGGAGCAATAATTCAACTTTTTTGGTTTGCACAAATCCTTTTTTAAAAGAGTTTTAGAAGGAAACTTTTTCCATTGCATACCTTCGTTTTTGTTTGCCTCTCTAGAGACCCACCCGCCCCTGCCTCTTGAGTGATTAAAAGTGTGAGCCACCACACCTGGCTCCATTGCACAGTTAAAGCACATTAAATTTCCCAGGTTTGATCTTGTCGGTAGATAGCATATTCACCTTAGCATGAGTACTCATGTTATGTCTGATGGGTTCTAAGTGCTATAGAAATTCTATTATCCACAGAAATGCATAGAGAGGGGCTGGAGAAATGACTTAGTGGTTAAGAGTACATACTGCCCTTGCAGAGAGCCTGAGCTCACTTGTCAGCAACCAGCTCTGAGGAATCTGACGCCCTCTTCTGGCCTTCATGGGCAACTGTAGTCACATGCATGAGTGTACACACACATTTTCAAAAAAAAAAAAAAAAACAAAAAAAAACAAAAAAAGAAACCAGCCCTAAAGATGAATAAAGATTTTTAAAGTATATCTTTTTCTTTCTTAAGTTACATAGTTATCTCAACTACTCCCATCAAGATTTTCTAATACAATAAAACCACTGAAAATGCCAATGTTGGACCTAAAATTCGATGCAAATATAGAGTTGTATTAGTGCAAATGAAGGAAGATTGCTTTGCCTTATGCTGTCCTACAGTGTAAAAGCAGTGACCGCTGCCTGCTCAGGAAGCCCCCAGGGCAGTCACTGTACTCTGACTATTACTGTGGTGCTCAGCTCCTGTATGGGGAAAGGTGGCCTGGGCGGGAGAGCAGGAGCCGTTCCCACTGGACCAGCAGATCTCGTCCTTGTATTTCTGTGTTACAAAGCCGTAGAGGCATTTTAAATATTTGATATTAAATGTAAACTGTGGAGTGCTCCTTTGTGGGGGGGCGGGGGGAGGGTCAGGGCATTAGACCCAGGGTCTCATGTGTGACACCAGTCAAAGATTCTACCACAGAGCCACTTTCATGAAAGAGCACTTAGTAGTCTGTTTAATTTTTAAAGCTTGTATCCATATCAGTGTGAGTGCATCTGTACATAAAGAGGAGAAGGAATGGGAATAACTTTCAGGACAGTTTTATCAGTTTCTTAAACCCCATGCCAAAGACTACATTGTGTTCTGTCTTCAAAACTGAGTTTTAAAGTCACCAGTTAATGATGATTAGCTTTTTGGTCTTTTATTATTGGAAACGCTTGTTGTAGGTTATATGACTGTTAGAAGTATATGTAAATTAGAATGATACATTCTCAGGTTTGGGAATGTAAGCTTAAAGGGTCTTACCAAGACTTAGTGCCTATTAGTTGGTCCTTAGGGAAACTCTAATCCAGTGTATTCAAGAATTGGGATAGTCCAACCTGTTACTTTCAAAACACATTTGTACAGATATAGTATTTTTATATAATTAGCGCTTTAGATTATTTTTATTAGACTACATGCTCCTGACTTTATATATGTCAAATATCTATTATAGAATAAAATGAAGTATAGTAAGTCAACCAAATTGAACTAATTTTGTCAGAAAATGGTTTGTGAATAAAATATGCTAATGGAGGGAGCTGGAGAGATGGCTCAGAGGTTAAGAGCATTGCCTGCTCTTCCAAAGGTCCTGAGTTCAATTCCCAGCAACCACATGGTGGCTCACAACCATCTGGAATGAGATCTGGTGCCCTCTTCTGGCCTGCAGTCATACACACAGACAGAATATTGTATACAAAATAAATAAATATTTAAAAAAAAATGCTAATGGATTCTGAAGAATATGAAATCCATCAAGAAACAATGTAGTCTGATGAAAAGATTATACAAAGGAGTCGAAGAAATGGCCCAGTGGTTAGGAGCACTTGCTGCTTTTCCAGGGGGCCTGGTTTTGAGCCTCAGGATCCACATGGTGGTTTATAACTACCCATAACTCCAGTTCCAGTGGGACCCAGTGTGCTCTTCTGACCTAGTACTAGGGACTCATGGACACATACATACATGCAAACAAACACCTCAAATTTTAAAAATGACATTATAGAAAGCAGTGAGGATTTAAACTCTGGTAGATTTACCAGACAAGACTCAGTGTTTCCTCTAAGTTGTAACAAGTCAGTGCTTTGTATGAAATGGTCATCTCCTAAGCAGGTTAGGTGGGTACAAGGTGAGATGTTTGGAACTGAGATGTTTGGTAGCGTTAGGAAGTAAATGCAAACTGCTTTACTAAAGCATCAGGTGCTGTCTGCTGCTAAAAACAAACTGGTCTGGCAGCTGGCGTCTAATTTGTTTTTCTGCTGGTAAATCGTAGTAATAATTTTAAAAGATTTAAGTAAACTGTTACTTGTGAAGATAATTATCTTACAGTATAATTCAGAGACATTTTGTGTACAGATTTTATTTAGTTCATCATGAAAATTTTGATAGTCTATAAAAATATTTCTTGCTACAATAAAAATAATAAACTACCAGAATATCTTTTTGATGGCCCAAAGTTACTATTTTATTTATTGTCCTAAGAATAATTTTTCTGTTTTATTTTTATTCTTTGAGGATTTTATACATATGTACAATGTATTTTGATCTTATTCACCTGAAAACTACCCTACTGCCTCAGCCCCTCCCAGTTCCCATCTCTTAAGATTTTTTTTGTTAACTACCAGGTTCAGTTTGTGCTGCCCAAATACGTGTGGGTATGGGACCATTAGGAATAAGTTTTGTTTTTGTTTTTTAAAACCTAACATTAGTTGTGCCTTTAGTGTGCTGGACATTGTCCTAAATGCTTTTTATTACTATTAAATCTTATAAATATTCTGGTGGGTTGCATGAAGTCTGGCAGTCAGAGGACAGTTTGAGGGAGCCAGTTCTCTCCCTGTGATGCAGAAGTCACAAACTAATCCCACACTAGTTCAGAATTATGAGTAATAAAGGGTTATTTATTCAGGGGAGACTTACAGATCACTGTCCTAGATAACAGTCCTCTGTATGAACGGGGAACAGGAACAGAGTCTAGCAGC